ATATAAATTTTATTATGACTTGTTCTAGTTCTGTGAAATATGTCCTGGGTAATTGGATAGGGATTGCATTAAATCTGTAGATTGCCTTGGGCAGTGTGACCATTGTAACAATATTGATTCTTCCGCTGTTTTCTTCTTAATAATAGTTATTAATATGTGAAATTATTTCTTTGCACATTTACTGTTTGTCTTCCCCTCCTGGAATGTGTGCTCCATGAGGATGGGGCATTTGACTCTTGTTATTTTTATATCCCAAGGGCCTAGATCAGTGTGCCTAACAGACGTTCAATAAATATTTGTTGAGTGCAGGGGTATAGCTCAGTGGTAGAGTGCATGCTTAGCAGGCGAGAAGTCCTAGGTTTAATCTCCAGTACCTCCATTATTAAAAAATAATAAATATCTGTTTAAAAATTTTTTTTTTTACTGGAGGTACTGGGGATTGAACCTAGGACCTTGTGCTGCTAAGCATGCACTCTGCCACTGAGCTATACCCACCACCCCCCAAAATAATAAATATTTGTTGAATGAATAAATAAGTGTATTGAGCATGGGTCAACAGAGCCGAAGGGTAATAGGGGGTCACCCTTTTACTCTATCCCTATTAAACAGCTCCATGACTGTGGACTGACCAGAAAGAGTACATTTCTATACTAGGGAAGTCTTCAGTGTGAAGTTTTTTTTTTCTTCTTTAATAAAAATAATAGAAGCAAGTACATCATGGTTATTCTCTAGGCAAGTGTCCAAGGACTGCAAATTTTTCAGGGCTTTCATAGACAGACTCTTCTTGTTATTTTAAAAGCTCCAGAGAGAGAAAGGAAATGACTTATTTTGAAGGTCCAAATAAAAGGGAGATATAGAAACGTATTACAGTGGCTACCAGTCCATAGATGTGTATCACATTCTGCCAACTTTATGCTCAGGGCAATTTTATTTTTCCCTAGATTTGCTTCACTCATGTGGTGTCAAGAAGTAGTGTAAAAACTAGTCTGGAACCCATGACTCTTCCAGGGCTTTGGCAGAAGTGCATGTGAAACCACCCTTAGGGATGTTTCTAATAGTCCAGGACATGCTAGACACTGAAGATTGGTTCTTAATAAAAAGCTTATGAGTCAAACGAGAAAATCAACTGTCATAAGAAAGGACCAGCAGATGTCCCCAGCAGAAGAATTCACACCCAAAAAACTTCAAGTGATAAGACATTGTAAAGAAATTTTAAAATAATTGTGTTCATTATGTCCTAATTATTTTCACTATTAGGCAAGAATATATCATTGCATATCATTACAAAAACGAAAAGAGCAGATAGATTTGAAAAAAGAACAAGTACA